CATCATTCTGGCCAACTTTTTTAAAAAGAGAAAGTTAAGAAAAGATAAGAGTGTGTGTCAGTCCTGAATGGAGCTGGAAGCGCAGCTCTAGGTTTCCAACAGGGAGGCAGGAGGGGCGACTGCCAGACAGGCTCACAAGGCTCTGTCCATAAAGCGGCAAGGCCTGCATGGAGTAGACCCGGATGCAAACAGAACAACTGCAAAGCTGCCTTTATGAGCCAAAAATGGGGAATCCAGACAATGACTGGATAGGAGACAGCATTAAGGAATCATTATTAATTCTGTCAGGTGTGAAAATTCACCTACGGTTATCCTATCTAATAAAAGGGTAATATGCAAATTGACCCTAAAAGTGGAACGACCGGTCACTATGATGCTCACTGACCACCAGGGGACAGATGCTCAATGCAGGAGCTGCCCCCTGGTGGTCAGTGCGCTCCCACAGGGGGAGCTCTGCTCAGCCACAAGCCGGGCTCACGGCTGTAAGTGCAGCACCTCCTCAGCAGCACTAAGGATGTCCAACGGCGGCTTGGGCCCACCTAAGCCGCAGTCGGACATCCCCCAAGGGCTCCCAGGTTGCCAGAGGGATGTCTGACTGCCAGCTTAGGCCCATTCACCTGGGAAGTCCCAGACTGCGAAGGGTGCAGGCCGGGCTGAGGGACCTCCCCAGAGTGCATAAATTTTTGTGCACCGGGCCTCTAGTGTTTTATAAAAAAAGAGTTATTTCTCAGCACAACACACCAATGTACTTACAGAGGAAGTGAGGCAAAGAGATGGCGGAGAGACACATTCCCTCTGCTCTGGTTATACTTACAACTTCCCCTAAAGAAGGTGGAAGCATTATGAGGGAAGCAATGCAGAAAACTGTCTTTAAAAAAGCAAATGCTTGAAATACAAACTACACAATTATTTTGCATGATACAACAGACTCAAAGTGCATGGTGCCTTCTGAACTATGGAAACTCCTGTCTTTATCCACTTGAATGAAACCTGCTTTTCTGCAACTCTGTGCTTTTTAAAAAACGACTGCTGCAAATGCTCAGTCCACCTCCCATGGCAGAGCACAGCAGGCTGGCAGGGTTTAATGCCCAGGACAGCAGATGGACAGCCACACAGGGCCTGGGAGGGCCTCATGTGTCAGAGCCTGCAGGGTCCGGGCCAGCCCTGGCCATGGGACCTCTTCACCTCACTGTCTAAGAAGAAACCAAATCTTTCTTTACCCCCAATATGTGTAGTGGCCCTTCACCCAGAGTCCTGATATGGCGAAGGTCCAAGGGGTGACTGCCCCAAACTGAGGAGGGGAAGCTGACCTCCTTTGCAGGAAGTGATGAGGGGGCGCGGCAGGAGCCCATGCTGGTCTGGCCGTGACTCTGTCCCAGGCAGCTGCTCAGGCCCAGGGAGCCTCAGCCACCAACCCCCTACCCGCCACCCCCGCAGGCTCAGGTGCACCAACCCATGCAGTGACCTGCACCCTTGCGACCCATCCTGGCTCCAGTGGGCAGAGCTGCTCGTTGAGGGCCACACAGCTAAGGGCCCAGCAGGATCCAACCCTTCCTGGAGCCAGTGTGAAAACCACAGCCTCATGCAGCACAGGCAGCACCTCCTCGCCTCCCAGGCAAAAGCCACCTTTGGGCCACAGGCTCCTGGTCCCAGGCCTGGCTACCTGCTGCCCTTCCTGTAGGAAAGCAGCTCCGTCAGTGTGCCAGTCTTGAGTCCAAGGCCATACCTGGGGACATCGAGGCGCACAGCTGCTCCCCCCAGGCCGGCAGATGGAAGCAGCCCAGGTGCCGTGGCAGTCAGTCTCGGCGCTTTTAAAAGTGAGGAGCCCCAAGAGGGATTCACAAACCTCTGCCCGACACACCCTCCGCTTGTGGGACAGCAGGGAGTGTCAGCAGTACAGCCTCAGTGAGCCCTGGAGTCGCAGCCTTTGGACATCTGTAGCTGCCTCTCCTGGCTGGGGACCAGCAGGGCCACATCAGCACCTCAGGGTTCCCCAGCCCCCCCAAGTCGTGCCTCTTCATGCCAACAGCAGAACGCACACCCAGCTCCGGCTCCAAAAGCACTTGGCCTCTCCCTGCGCTCCAGCCCCAAGGACTCTGCTCCGAGGTCCAGGGCACTCTCAGTGGGCGGGAGAGCCCTCCAGGCTTCAGCCAAAGCAGGGCTCTTCCTGCCCCACGCAGACACTGAGGAGGCTGGGCCCCACGCAGAAGCCTCCAGTTGCCCTGCCCTCCTCAGCAGGTGCCTGCCCTTTTAAGACAGGCTGCCTGGGCTCCTAGCCTTGAGCAAAACACACCTTCTCTGCACCTGCCTCAGTTTCCCCATCTATACAATGGCTATAAGAAGGTAGTAACCCAAGGGCTGGTATGAGTCAGTGGGGTCTAGAGAGGCTACGACAGGAGCAGCTCAGCTGCAGGGGTGAGACCAAGTGGCTGCGCTCACCCACCCCATCTGGCTGTGACTTCTGCAAACACATGGGTTGGGGAATCGGTGCCAAGGACCCCTTCCCACGTAGTTTGAGCTGCTGAGCCTTCCTTAGTCGCTCCCACCCATTCTACCTCAGTCTCCCCATCCTCTGTGAGAGATTATAAAAGGGAGGGAAGGGAGCAAAGGGGACAGAGTAGCTGCTCTCATCAGCTCTGCCCCAACCCTCCTGGTTGCTGAGCCTGCAGGACAGGAGGGATGACGGATGAGTGTTGGGAGCTGGGCTCAGGCAAGTCCAGAGGGGGTGGCAGAGGAGGCTCAGAAGCATCCGGCAGTGAGGGCAGCACAGGCTGGGCCAGCTGGAGGCCCCAGGCAGCAGGCTGGGGCTGCCCTCTGGGAGACGCAGTGGGGACGCTACAGATCACACCAAGCCAAGGAGCAGAGTTGGTGGCTGTGGGAACAGCAGGGAGGGGATCCAGGCCTGAGAGGTGGAGGGAAGGAGCTGAGGCCACTAACCAGCAAGTGTAAGCACTCCCTGTGTGCCGGGCAGGCATTATGCCCAGTCTATGAGACGCCAGAGCTCACCAAACTGCACCCACTGCTTCCCCAAGATGTATATATATCACACACTCAAGATCCTGAGGTGGCAGAGAGGGCGTCCAGACCTGTCTTCTCACTCTCCCTGGGAGCCAAGAGATGGCGGGGCTGACACTGCATCAGGAACCTGCCCCTGGCCTGCGGCATGCCTTCTCACCCTCCACTACCCCCCTCACCCCCCTGGTGAGGACCACCTACTTCTGGCACTTACCTAACCCTACCAGACAGGAGCTCCCACCTAATGCCTGCACCCCGCCAGACAGCTTCCCTCCCTCAAACATGGTATTACCTACAAATGTTGGACAGGAGTACAGGCAATTCTGTTTGTAGCATAATTTGTTAGTAACTGAATCCACTTTAATTCAATGAATTTTTAAAAGAATTAAGATAGTTCACTTCTCTACAGGAGAAAAAAATGGGCCCAACAAATTCAGGGTGGGGTAAAAATAGGTTTACAGCTGTTCACATGAAAAATAAATAGGTTGACAAGAGCCTGTACTGGTACAGGCATGAGTGAACTGGTGCAAGCTTTCTGGCAACATCTCCTGAACAGATCATCTTCCTCCAGCTTCTGCCAGAACTTCCCACCCGCAATGGGGGAAACTGAACCCAGGGCAGCAGAGCGACATGTCCAAGGCCATGTGGCCAGTGCATGCAGGAGCCAGGAGGGGACAGCAAGCAGGCAGGCACCTGAAGGAACTGCAGAAACTGACCCACCTTCCAGACACACCCACTGAACGGAGCCAAGGTGCTTGCATTGGCCAAAAGGTTTGTCCACAATGGAAAAGAGCTAACAAACGAAAGGTCCCTGAGCGGGAAGCAGTTCTCTCTGCAATCATGGGTCCAGGCCTTCTTACAGGGTCACGAAGGCAAGCTTGTGAGCACAAGAGGGGGGCTGTGAGTGCTGTGGGGGTGAGTCCCATCCAGGGAGACCCTGGGTGCATCCCCCCCACTTCCCAAATGGAACCCTTGTTGGAGGGGCCACATGTTACGCCTCTTGAAGATCCAGTGCCAGCCAAGCCTGACTCAAAGGAGCCCCAATACTAGCTGACAGATGTCAGGACCTGGGGTGAGTGAGCGGCCACCTGCCTTCCCGCCCGCCCGTGTCAGTCGTTTACTGATGCTAACCTGAGCACCTACTCTGCCAGGCATGGCTTCCTTTATCCGCTCCTCCCCGCCTTCACAAGAGGGCTCTACTGGACTCCCCAGTGAGGCAGGGAGGCTCTGACCAGTCCAGGCACCCGTCCCAGCCACTAGGAGTGGTGGTGCCAGGAGGTGGGGGTTGGGGGAAGCAGCTGGCATGGTGGATCCCAGGATCAAGGGCCAAGAGCCCGCCAGGACAAGGGGAGAGTCAGGTGGGGAAGGGGCACCCTGTCGGGGAAACTGACACCATGCCCCGCCTTTTCAAGCCTTATGGGTGGGCCATGCTGCAGAGAGGAAGCCAAGGCCCCGTCCTCCTCGCTCCCGCACAGGCTGGGGAGAAGCTGTTGTTTAGGTCACTAGCACACTTCCCGCAGGGCTGCCCGAGGACCTGACTCCTCACCCCGGAGGGAAAATCCGTGACACACGCAGAGCGGCCCGTCCCGTCGGCAGGGAGAGCCGGGGGCGCGCCCACACAGGAAGTGGGCGGAAAAAAGCAGGCTTCCAGGGCAGTGGGGGGAATGGTGGGAGAGCTGACTCCGGGACAGGCCCCCGACACAGGCCGCGACCGCCGCAGTCCAGGCCGCCTGCCCCGGCACCAGCCCTGCCGAAGGCAGCTGCCCCGCCTGGGAAGGGTGATGCAGGGCCGGGCTTTTCTTGGCGCTCGTCCCTCGCCCACTCCCTCCCCCAACCCGGGAGGCCGAGCACCGCAGGAAAACACCACCCACCGTGCCCAGGCCCGCCACCAGGCGCAGGCAGGCCGCGCACGCACCCCTGGCGCCCGGGGCGGCCGGCGAGGGGTCAGCTCAGGGCGGGGTGGGGAGCCGGGCGGGGCGCCTCACCTCCTTGAGCTGCTCCATCTCGCCGCGGATGGCCTCGTAATCCACCTCGAGCTCCTCGAACTGCAGCTTGAGCTGGTGCTTCTCCTCGAGCACCGCCAGCCCGTACTCGGCCGCCTGGATCTTCTCGCGCGTGGTCTCGGCCAGCTCGTGCGACAGCCGCTTCACCTCGGCGCGCAGCCACTCGGGCTGCGCCTCCATCACCAGCCGCGCGTACTCCTCCTCCTCGGACGGCGCCGACATGGTGGCCGCGGGCCGGCTCACGCTGCTGCCACCGGGCTCACACCCGGCTCCCGTCCGCTGGCCACCGCCCAGCCCGACAGCGCCCGTGCCGCCGCACAGCCGCAGTGCGCTCCCCGCCGCGCGGGGCGATGTGGGTGCCGTAGTCCCGCCCGCGCGACCGCCAAGCTCGTGTGGACACGAGCCCGCCCGCCCCGGCCCTTGATTGGCCGGCCGGCGCCGCGGCTCCTCCCAATCCCATCGCCGCGGCCGCCGCCGCCCGGGATATTCTGGGCGCCGTAGTCCCGCCCGCACGCCGCCTACCAGGACCGTCATGCCCGCGCCTGCCCGCCCCCCGGCCGTGATTGGCCCGCGAGGCCGCCGTCGCAGAGCCGGAAGTGTGTTGTTCTTCTGCCCGCCCCGGCCGTGATTGGCCCTCGAGGCCGCCGTCGCAGAGCCGGAAGTGTGCTGTTCTCCTGCCCGCTCCCAGGCCAGGCCTCAGCCCCACCCTCTGCGGGACCCGGTCTCCGAGGCGGCAGGACGGGCGCGCCCTGACGTGCCCGCGGTTCGCCTGGGACGCCCGGGAGGTGCGCCAGTTCTGGCCGCGCAGCCTGGCCCTCGTGTCGCGGCTGGTGCCCCTTCGTGATCGCCACCTGTGAGCCGCCGCGGAGACCTGCCGACACCCTCCTCCGTTCCTTTAACCACCGTTTTCATTGCTATGTCTGGTTCAGACTAATGGCCCCACACTGTTTCTTCACTATTGCCGCCATTCCTTCTCCACCCATGGCTTTGTATTCTAGAGAAGAGATTTCATTCATTAGCATTATATTCTTCCTAGAGGCCTGGTGCACGAAATGCGTGCACTGGGGGGAGGTCCCCTCATCCTGGATTGCGAGAGGGCCCAGGCCAGGCGGAGGGACCCCACCATCTGGCTCAGTCCCAGAGGGGCAGAACCCCAGCAGCAAGCTAACCTACCGGTGGAGTGTCTGCCCCCTGGTGGTCAGTGCAGGCCGTAGCGGGTGGCCTTAGCATATCATTAGCAAATTATGCTTTGATTGGTTGAACGGGTGATCGGACACTTAGCATATTAGGCTTTTATTATATAGGGGGATTTTACTCAGCGAGTTTTTTTCTGTTACTCTCCTTATTTCCTTAGATGCTCAACTGGCAGGTTTAGCCAGTGGGGGCTCCTCCAAACTGCCTCCTGTGTTCTTTCAATCTGTCATAATATTTGAGCATTTTCTTACTTTCTAGCACAAATTGTTCCAGAATCTTGTATTCTGCCCCAAATTGGAATCTGTTATTTCTCCAAGAAGCTCTGATTCCTTTTAATGATTTAATGTTTCATTTGTTTGAGAAGAATGTCATAATTTTACTTGTGAAATTTTTTAAAAAATGAGGGCATTCAACCACAGTAAAAGCAGGATGCCCAAGGGGCCTCATTTCCCTAGGGCCACGCTGGTTTTAGCCCTGAGAGTCCCAAGTCCTGGGAACCCTTCAGGCTCGGGCACACCTGCCAGCCTAAGGGAGAGATCCCAGGAAAAAGAAGGGAGACGGATAAGCCTTGTTTGAGGGGGTCACACAGCCTCAGGGAAACATCCCCTTCTGACTCAGGATGGCCAAATTCAGAATCCCCACCCCATTCCTCACCTTCAAGTAGAGCTAGCCTGAGGAGGGGAGGGGGAAGGCATTGACCACTGAGCTTTGAAGTTGGATAGGCTGCTGGTAGAAGGGGGACAGGTAGCGACTTCCAGGTGCTGGGTACAGGACCTCTCATGGCTACTGTGGGCTTCCTGCAAGAGGGACATCAGGGTTAGAGCCGTGAGGAAGGTGCCATGATGTCTGAGTGTTGGTGGTCGGGGCATCAGGGAAGGATGTCTTGAGAAGGTGAGACCTGTGTGGAGACCCTAAGTATGCTCAGGAGGTGGCCGTCAGGCTGCCACAATAGGGACTGGCAAGCATGAGAGAAGCAGGGCCATCCCTTGTTGAGTTCCAACTCCCCAACATGGATAGGTACCTGACCTACATCATCTCATTGAGTCCTCACAACACCCCAAGAGGTGGGAATGATGCTATTTTCTTTGACAAATGAGGAAACAGGCTGGGCAAAATGCTCAGTAAGATTCTCCACCTTCGTAAACTTCTCATCCGATTTCTCAGTCTGACAGCTAAGGACAGACCCCACCCCAGCCTTCTGCCGTCCTGACTGCCCCTTTGTGGCTTGAGCCCCATTGTCCAAGAAGGGACCACAGGAGAACAGAGGCAGCGTTGGCATAGTGGGATGCCAGGGAACACCCTGCTTGTCCCCTCAAGAATGACTGGGTGACCTCTAGCCTGGGGGCAAAGGGATATGACATCCTCCCAGGAATTCGCTCTTCCTTTGTGAGGCAAGACTCCAATCTCCCACTCCTCCCAACCTGGGTGAAGGAAAAGGATGCTCATGTGCAGTGTCCAGGCTGGGCTGGGTGTGGCACTTTGGCAGCCTTGAAGCTCCTTCCTTCCTGTTCCCTCAAGAGCTCTGTGTGTAGGAAATGGGCCTCTGTGATCCATCTCCAGCACAGTCAACTTTTAATGGAAATGGTTATTGAATTTTCCCAGGGCAAACAGAATGTAGGTGCTGGGGTCCAACCCCAGCAGGTCCAGGGGTCCCCAAAGGTGTGGACGGAGTCGGCGAAGAAGGAATGACACGGAGACAGCTTTCAGTTGATCAGCAGCCTAGCCAGGATCTCCAGCCAAGTTCTGGTCTGGATCTCCAGTGAAGTTCTGGTTAGGATCTCCAGCCAGGTTCTGTGTCCATGTTCTCTTGCTAGGTTCTCCAGCCAGGTTCTCCAGGTTCTCCAGCCAGGTTCTGTAGCCATGTTCCCTTGCTAGGTTCTCCAGCCAGGTTCTCCAGGTTCTCCAGCCAGATTCAGTCACCAGGTTCTAGTCAGGTTCTCTTGCCATGTTCTATCCAGGTTCTGTAGCCAGATTCTGTCTCTAGGTTCTTCAGCCAGGTTCTCTCGCTAGGTTCTGTCTCTAGGTTCTGAGGCCAGTTTCTGTCCAGGACCTTTTGCCATGTTCTCTCGCTAGGTTCTGTCTCTAGGTTCTGTCTCCAGTTTCTGTCCAGGATCTTTTGCCATGTTCTCTCCAGCAAAGTTCTTCTGTCTCTAGGTTCTGTGTAGGTTCTGTGTCTAGGTTCTGTGTCTAGGTTCTGTTACATCTGTATTTATACCAGTTGAATCCAATCCTATCAATCTCTATTCCAAAGGTTAGGGCGTTTATCTCCATTCCAGGGAGTAAAGATTATGTAGTTTACGCATGATTGTTCGTAGTTAAAGTGATTAATTACCCGCCTGGCACTTAGTTAAGGGGTTTTATTCCCTCCCTAACTTCAGGGGAAAATCCCTACCTGGGGAAACAACCTTTCTCAGAGAGGTGACCTTGGTTAAAACACATAGTGCCAAGAAGGTGAGCAAACATATTAAGAACAGTATGCCATATATGCAAGGTCCCTTGAAACAGCAAGGATGGACCGGCTCCCGGCATGTAGGGAGGAGGGAAGAGGATGTAAGAAGAAAGAACTGTGCACCTGGGCCAGCATCATGGTGGAAACCCTCGGGGCACCTCCTCAGCTAGACAGGGGAAGGTGGAGGCAACTAGAAAAGGCCTCAGCCCATTTTTAATGGCTTAATGGGAGACAATAAGACCTGGACGACATATGCGGAAACAGGTGACTCCATAGTACTCAGCCAATGAGGAACCGGAGAAGGGACTGAATAAATAGGCTGTGTTCGCTGCCCCAGGTGTGCCTGCACAATAGGACAGATACCTACTCTTCAGAACATATTAAAAGTCTCATTTTCACCATACTTCTGTCTCTGAGTCCGTTATTTGAATTCAAACAGGTGAGAATTTCTCACAATTTGGGGGCTCATTCAGGATTTCTATGCCCATATAGAGGGGTGCCCTGGTTGAAGGGGAGACACATCCCACCCAATTTTGAGTGGCCCTTTGCTGAGCCCCATCTCTTCACAGAAGCCATAGAACAGGCCTGAGGCTGTTTTTTATTTCCCCTGCCCCCAGAAGATGGTGAAACCAACGTGGGATAACAAACAAAAAAAGCAGGCACACATACACAACTAGGCAATCCTCGTGCATGAGTCAAGGTAAGAAAATTGGACTATAAAGCACTACCTTGGTGGTTGCATATCCTTGGGTATGTGACTGAGAAGTGTCTTGGACACAAAGCGAGTGGAGAGTTCTGATCTGCAGTTCCATTCTCCAGCAAGGAAAACGACCAGGTACAGATGAAGCGGGTCCTGGGGAGTGTGAGAAATCTCCAGCATGGGGGATTGAGCACAGTGCAAGAAACCTCCTGGAGGGGGGTTGAACACATAGAATAGTCACAAGGGATTTACCAGAACAAAAATTCTAGGCCTAGGATGACATTCCCCTGGATAGTCCATTGGGAGAATACTGAGGTTCCGGGGGTGGGGGTGGGGGTGGGGGTGGGGGTGGGGAATCCCCTAATCAGGCACAGGAGACATTGCTCTGCTTAGGTGTTTTCTTATGCAGGGCATTCTGTGATGTCTGCGGCTGGACAGACAAGGAACATGGTGTTAGGTTAGGTAGCTCAGGAGGCGGCGAAGGAAATAAAGAGAGTTGATCAGAAAAGGAAGGAAGGAAAGTTTATTCTGAGTCCCCGGGAGACCCACGTACTCCCAAGGACAGGGCACGTGGATTGACGCCAACACGGATGGGGGCGCTTTTTTTATACTGCAGTTGGGTGAGGGGCGGGGACATGAGCTGAGGTATTCAGCTGTGGAAGTTTCAGCTGCAGGGGGTCGGCAGGGTATTCAGGAAGGAGTCAGTGTCTGTGTGGGGGTCATTGTGGATTCAGGGAGAAGCCGGTATCTGTGTCTGGCACACTGATCTGTTAGAAATGCCAGGGGGAGTCCATTATCTCGTCACACATCTGCACGTATCCGATCCTGAGCTCTCTCCAACCTAACAGTGTGAAGCTTTTGTCTGTGGGTTGTGCACACCTGTAAATATTGTATATAAGAGTGTTTCATTTGATGTTTGTGTCTCTCTGTTTTTTGGTTTAATTTATTTAAGGATAGGGCATATCCCGCTTTGGGGGACCCAGCTGTTTGTGGAGGGCCTGAACACGTGGCAAAGACTGCAGGAATTCCTAGCACAGTGGTTCTCA